AATTTTTTAACAACATTATTACTTTTTGAGATATAGCTGACTATTAGATTTACAGTAATTTATATAATTTTATATAATTACTCAGCTTAACTAAGTAATTATTCTAACACACTCTTTATGTCAACAGGTCAGTGGCAAACTTTCATCTGAAATAAATTATGGTTAATAGGAGGAGGTGTTCTGAAGAATGTTGGAGTAATATTGGATGCCTATATAGTAAGAAAGGATATTTTTATATGATTAGTGATTACATTAAACAATATTCAATAAAAATCAGAAAGATTTTAGGTAAATTTTGAATAATATTTATATATTATAATTGAAAATGTACACACATAGCTATTATTTCATATATATATATATATAAAGATGTATATATCATACATATAAATTATAATAGTATAGAAAAATAACAATAACTCGATAATTGAAAAACATACAATGAATTATTTTGTGCGATTTTTTGATCTCGCAACTTGGCATTATATGTGGCCAAATATATTTATAGAGTTAAAAAAAAATAATAATGTAATATTGTTCCTTGGCGGTGACGATAATGAAATAATAATTTACGTAAAAAATAATGATTTTCCTTAAAATGTATTAACTTATTTCGTAAACATATTATAATATACTATAGGTACATAATTCATGACATATATTCCTATCATAAACCTACTTATTTTGTTATTTAATAAAGATGTTATTATTAGTAAAAAAAAAAAATGTACACAACAACCTTACAGGAATAGTTTATAATAATATGTTTAAACATACGAGTACGACAATTTAATAAATAATAATAAAATTCTTTATAATAATAATAATAATTTATAAGTTTAACAATACGGTGTTGGTTTTTGTTTATCATAACATGTAAATTATATCACCGTATCTATAAAATTAATTGACATAGTTTTTTTTTAAGCTCGTTACAATTTCATAATACAATGTAAATTATAATATTATATTATATGGTAAGAAAAGCTCGATTATTAATTCGGCTAGAACACGTTCAAAATCGGTGACAAATTAAAATAGAAATAATGATAAAAAACTAGGTAAATAATATTATAATATAATATGTATAAATAATATATAAAACAACATGTGTTGACTACACAAAAAAAAAAAAGAAAAGGAAATGATAAAAATCGTATACTTAACAATAATGATGTTTATATTTTTAATCAGGTGAATCGCAATCCCGGCGATTACTTCGATTATTTCTATCATATATACAACACACATCAAGTGTGTTTAAATTTAAACTTTAATTTAATAATTATCGCTTATTTGATTAAAAAAAAAATAAAAAAAAATAAATAAATTGTCGTTCAGCAGCTCAGTCTTTGCGATCGTACACAGTAGTAAAAACGACGACGGCTGTGAACACCATCATCTACTCATCGTCTTTGTTGTTGTTGCCGCACTCGGGTTTGAAGTCAACCAAGGCGTGCAATTGTTGGGCACTATAGCTGAAAACAAATAAAAACACCGCTGTAATAAATACTTTTTATCTTCCAAACGTTCAATATTGTCGAGACGGTTTCGTGTCCACGCACGGGTTCATATTGTATACATTATATCATATAATACTATCTAATCAAAGCCATTTAATTAAATAGAGATGCGAAAAGCAGTTGGGTGACTTGTGAGTTAATTCGTTGGCGGATATCAAGGGGTGGTTGGCACAAGTGGTATTAGGATTTTRTCCGTCATTCGTTTGTGAATTTACCATTCAAAATCGGCTTTCACTTGAATGATTTTYGTCCCATAGGTATWTAAGTATAAATATGTTCAACACAATTGTTTGTAGATTTACGCTACGAGAAACTATAATATTATGAACAAGCTGATACTAAAGTTCAGCGACCAGGTTCTAAACATTCCATGCGATCTATTGCAAGGACTGCAATCTTACATTAATCGTAGAATTAAACTATATATAAACATATAAAACCATCATTGTGTAGCCTCAACCTGTAGTTGTTTTATATATATATATACCCAATTTATACCTAGCGGCTTAAGTCCTAATTGGAGCTGAGGTCTTATCAATTTAAAGTGGGTATGAAGTATGAACAAATAAAAAATAATGATTTCGAAAAGGTAGCAGATGTCTTCCTCACACACGTGCTAGTGCTTGTGTATAACAGAAGTGTTCGTGTGTATAATAATCTACTTAACAGATACCTATAAGAAGATCACAATCAATATAATAATAGTTTACGTTTTTGTTCTTTGGATAGTGGATACCTATACTTAAATTCATTATTTTCGTGAATGTGAAAATTAAAAAACTCGCAACAAATGATTATTTTGGCCACCATCCCCGCTTATAATATTGTATGATTGTACAAATTCATATTATATAAACGTTTAACGATTGTAAGTKCTTAAAAATTGTATCTACGTAAGGTTATTCGGTAAAAATCGAAAATCAATTAATTTACTATACGCAGGTAATAAATTATAGAGATACCTATTTATACTAGGTAATTGAGAATTATTATGAATAAAAACAATTTTACTACATCTAATTAAATTATAATATAAAGGCACAGGATGGAAATGAATGGTGAAATTATAAAATGATTTATAAAACCTAAATATAAATAGACATTATAGGAACATAGTGAAAAAGTCATAAATCGTATAGCTCAAATTTGTAATATGCTACASCTTAAATATATTTACTGACTATTGAATACCTATAGTAGTAAGTACAAAGTATATGCATGCAATACGCATTGGCAAATAAATAAACGCAGTCCATCGAAATTACAAAAAAAAAAAACAAGAAATATGCTATAATTATTATTGTGGTACAATAATATGTTTAAAATGCTGTGTGGTACTATAATACAATATATTTTTAACGTTAATACATAGAAATAACAATTAATCTTATATCACTATCAGTTATATCCATACCTAAGTGATATATAGTTTCGAAATTTGTATCTTGTAAAGAATGACTATAATAATAATATAAGTATTGCCTCTACGCGTTGTATTGGGCTGGATTAGCTTGGACTTGTTTGTTTATAAATAGGTATAATATTAATACCTATATTATAATAATGCGAGACATTTGAAATTTCCTGACAAAAAATTATCTTAAATTCAGTAAGGTAAAAAAAGTKAATCACAAATATTGTACAACTTATCAATTAGGAATAGGCGATCGTTTATTTATAAGYTATTTTTAATAAAGAATTTAAAACTTAGAAAATGATTCCACAAATAACAAGCTATTTTTACTTGAAGTTATAAGGAWTTTTTTTTAAGAGCAAATATGACTGCCAGTTGGACTGTATACTTAATATGTCTAGTTAATTAAAATAGCCACCTGCCAAGGTCAAAAACGTAATAAAAATAATAGTTTAATCTACACATAAGGTTATTTTTATTTAACAGCGAACGCCAACCCCTTGAAAAATAATTAGCGCATACTCCCCATTYAAAACTATATCTTCAGTTTCTAATTTTTCTGTTAAAAAAAATCACTGAACATTTTGAAAATCCACTAAGCCACCGCAGCAAGGTCACCGATCTATTCAAGATCAAGATTTCGGTTCTTTAGAGTTTGGACTTTGAATTTAGTCGATCTATATAATATATACAATCTGAGCACCTCATATACTATATACGCTAGTCTTAATATATTATTTACTTACCCAAGAAGGCTTTCGAGATCGCAAACAAATTTGTACACGTATCGTTTGCCGGCTGTCTTGTGTATGATGTTCTTGTCGTAATAATACCTAAGACCACGGCTCAGCTTTTCGTAGTTCATTTTTGGCTTGTTCTTGCGCACGCCCCACCTGCGGGCCACCTCGTCGGGGTCCGTAAGTTTGAATTCCCAGTCGTCGCCCGTCCAGGAAATAAACGCCTTACAGGCGCGATCGGTCAATAGCTCCAACAAGAACTGCCATAACTGTATGGGGCCGCTGCCGGTGAAACAAGGACCGCCATCTGTGACGAAAACAGTTCAAATTAATATATTATATTATGTAGGTATACTACAGGCACTGCAGAGTATATACGTCAAGTGAAGTTTTATAGGTGTATTCGAGATGAATTTTTAGGGACTTTAACGTGTTATTTTTTTTATGCACCCGAGAATAATTTACTGTACCAGAACAGCTTAAAATTGGCCCAAGCTAATAATAATTTGTTTTAGCATTGAATTGGTAATACATTTTAAACCAGAGTGGCCGGGAAAAAATGTATACCTAAAATGCAAATTTCGTGAACTAAGCTATGTAGTATATTATATATGCTATGCGACCTGTATAAAATGTAATATATAATAGACTTTTGGACGCAAAGAACCCGCGGAATTCTATATCACTCGAAAGAAACAACTATGCCCTCAGCGCTCTTACAAATTTTTGTGTATACGAACGCCGATTAAATAATATATAAACAATAGTACCGCGTATTACATATATGCGACAAACACGCAACAAATAATATGTCTACTACACAATTACRATTATTTTTGCACGTATATTTGTCTAAGAAGAACAAACGTCGAAGAAATGTCTTGGAACTATGAGCATGAACAGAATTATATAGTATATTATTATACTGTATAATATCATTGCGTTGGCACAGACGTCGTTATATAACACGATATATTATAAAAGAGCTAGGTACGTGAAAATGACGGGGCACTGGACCGCGAACAACTGCATTCGTAATGTCGGCGAGCCATAATCATGACGTGTAAATCCCTCAAAATATTTGATTTCGTTTTTGAAATATATTTTTAAATGTAACGAAATTAGATCGAACACCAGGGATCCGCTATACGTTAAAGTGGTAAGGTATAGTATAATGTTTCGGGTAAGGACACAACCACAATAATAGTTTGTTAACAAAAAAATTATACTGAATTCAAGACGAACAGATGAGCCACGTCGAGCCGTTACGAAAACTTTTCCTACAGACACATCAAAATACTTTAGTTTGCAAAAATAGTGAGCGTATTTTATAAACTAATGATATCTTAACATAAATAAGACGACCGTTTAGAGTTTGTTAAAACCCGCCGCACAAAGAACTCCTCTCGRGATAGAGCCCTAGTAAAAAAACTGAAAAAACTACGTTATTTACAATTAAAGCAAAAGAACACATTATCACATGGTGTAATATATTTTTGATCTTTAGTAAATCTCTAAACTAAAAGTTTCAAACTTGAATGAATTTTGCGCAAACTCCGAATACCTAAGACAATATTGCAAAACAACAAGAGATTTTTAATGGTGTAAATTGAATTTTTTATTTATAATACATCATAAATGTATAGGCTATATTTTTTGTTACATTACATGTCATACGCCTATATATAGTAAATAGTAATTGCCTATTTAAAAGCTTTTAAATAGGCATCGTCCTTAGCAAATTGCAGGAACAAAAGCTTAACATATAGCCACAAATGAATTGGAAAAAAACAAGCTAGATGCAATAATRTTAAAAAAATTGAATATATCGTTGGTGATAATGCAATACAATATAATGCAGTTATATAATTATGTATATTATGATAAAATTGAATACCACATACAAAAAACAACTTTAAGTAAATATTTATTCAAAAGTCAAACGCAGTCCTCTTACATTAGCGAATTTTAAATACCTACAAACAATAATACTTACTTGGCGTATAACCGGTAATGAGAGGGGGAGCTTGTAACTGCAAACATGGTTTTATGTCAACCGACATATTGTTGTTGCCACCACCGGGCACCATTAAATGGTGCTGCTGTTGGTGTTGCTGTTGAACGTGCGGATTGTTGTTGTTGTAATGGTGGTGATGGAGATGTTGCTGCTGCTGTTGTTGTTGGTGATGGTGTTGTTGTTGCTGCTGTTGATGGCCGTGGTGATGCTGTTGTTGCTGTTGATATTGCTGTTGTTGCTGGTGCATAAACTGCAGTTGCAGAGCCGAATCGGCACCGGCAGCAGCCGCGGCGGCTGCCCAGTGATCGACCGCGGCCAGCGCAGCGGCCGCTGTGACCGCGGAGGTCTGATGAGACGGTCCAGTCGTGGTGGAGGCACCGTTAGGCACGGTTTGCGCGCCCGACTGAGATGGCGGCACCGAATTAGCGGATGTCAGATAAGGCGACGTGGTACCACCGCCAGCGTCCAAGTAAGGGCTGCCGCTGGTTGTCGGATACGGTTGCTGTTCGCCGGTGTAGTTATCCTGTTGCTGTTGCTGTATGTACCGGTGATCTGTAAACGTCATTTCCGTTTTTAATTATATAATGTGTACTTTTTGGCTATAGATAACATTATTACATAGGTATAGTAGCATTTATAGTGTAATATAAGTGAATTTATAATCGGTAGTAGGTACTGCAGGTATACTATGAAGTGCAGGGCTGGTAACAATACGAGTCGTGGACAATGATTCTACTATATACTATTATATGTACTATATACATTATAATTACTATATAATATGATATGTAAAAATAGTTTCAACGATTTCTAAAAATCCGAGCGACCGATACTCATAGCTGCAGTACCTATAGTATTGTTTTAAGAGACGACAGGTAATATATATATCGAGTGAGGCTGGGAGTTCACATCTACGTCGTCTTTGTGTAGTATCCAGTTAAGCTTGGCAGTTAAGCATTGTAAATGTCCAGGTACATCTTGGTTTAGTGAATGATATACCATAATTAACGTGACTATCAGAATACGATAAAATGATAGACAACGTAGCTGTGAAKCTGGCTTAGACACGGTACCATCATAAGGCCATATTATATAAATGGTACGGATTTAATTTTTCAAGCAGTTTAATAATATTATACTGAAGGTAATTTATTAATTATGTATAGATTTACTATTTTGGTATTACGCCGAAATGTATATATTATGGACGGGTTATTATTTGTGAAGTGTTTCCTGCAGAATTCATTAACAGTTCAAATTGTGCATTCATATCGTCATATAATGGATTTTCTCCCCCGCAACTGCACACGTCTATACTATAGAATTAATAATTATTTATCCAACAATAAAATTCTATAATTCACAGGTTGACGTTTTGGTAACAGTCAAAATTCTATAAATTCCGGGCGTTATCAAAACCAGAATGATAATATCCAAACAACATTTGTAAACTTTTTATTTGTATTTCTACAAGACGTTTGAAAAATGTAAGCAATTCCACTGCAATTCGCTTAACCCTTAACCTGTTATTGTCCATCATATAACGCCATATATTACAGGACCACTTTATCACGTCGTCGCATAATATAATATTATTATATTATATTATGATATAATAAAATACGCTTAAATTATTAAAATAAACATATATCATACAACACTGATGAATTTTTTTTGTGAATTTCACGTTTCGTATAGAGCACGGTACTTTATTGAACTGTGTTATAGTTAGCATTGCAGCAGGTACATTATAGGAGGTTGTAACCGCGAACACGGTCGGACACGAAACAGCGTTTATATTCTGGACACAGGACGAGGGCGTGGTTTAATATGACTGCTGCTGAAGAAGCGAATTATAATATACCTATACATAAACGTATTTTATGATGATTTTTGGGCAGGGCAGTGTATAAATAATAAGTTTACACTCACACACACATAAAAGTCGTGTATAATGTATATACCTACATCATATAGATAGAGGCGTCAGAGAGGAGGGAAGAAAGAACGCTTAAGCAAACCGTGACGCGCGCGACTAGACAATAGACCGTGGTGTATAAATGTGTATATGTATAATATAATTTATTGCCATACATATATTTATATATGTGTGTATGTGTGTGTGTGTAGGTACTCTCCTGCTTTTTTAGCGATGACGATTAAAAAACTTTATTCACGTTGTATTACGCGCACTAGCTCGTTATTGTATTGTTCTACGATACAATACAATATATATATAGATGGTTGGCCGTGTTCGGCTACGTCCAATTATGAGTAGTTCGCGTGACCCCTTGTATACAACGAACACTATATTGTGTATACGCGCTGATTCAAATTATATTATAGGAACGTCAATCGTATAATACAACAATCGTAAAAAATCTAGTCAAATGCGTTTTCCACACAGTGATCTTTATATAGGTAGTACATGAAAACTGATGAGGTCAAAAAAAAAAAAAATGCCTACACGTTTGAATACAACGATATCATATTTTATATAATTGTAAGTACGTTTCGAACTTTGTTGAAACGAAAAATTGAGTAATCGGAAGTTATACTTATAGATCTATGTATATATTCGCTACATGCTCTAATGYTACAAACTACAAAGGCTATATTTATCGGAGATAGAGGCCTAAGCTTTTCTCTAACTGTTGTATGAGTACATATTGCGCATATTATAATAATAACTCTAAATTGATTATCTATAATATAAAATATTTGCCTATATAATACTGCACGATTATTATGCACTGTCGAGTCTCGATAATTCCGACTTCAAAAAACACGAACTTTTTTTATTTTTCTCGAGATTCGAGTTAACGAGACTCGGCATATATATAATATTATGTAATCGTTAAAGCACTCAATGGAATTATTTCAATTTCGTCAATCGTGTTTAATTGATTAATGCGCATTAGCCTAATGTGGATAAAAACGAATATTAACATGGTATATAATATATAATAGACTATATTATATTTAGAATACCTATGGAATGTAGAAATTGGTAAAAGTATTAAGTGGTACATAATTATTTTTCTGAATATAAATATATAATATTATGTATTTTTCAATAAACTACGGTGGTTATGGGATGACGTTTATTTCCACGTAAGTTTCCGTTATCGTCTGTCGGTTTATCRATATGATTATCGAAAACATTGGTACGTGTAATGTACGTGTAATATAAATCATGATAAAACACACAATGTCATATTATATACTATAGGTGATTCACACATTTCGCCAACTCTCTTTTTATCTTTAATAATTAATTTAATCAAACTGGAATTTGTAAGTATAGTTATGTCATAAGTCATAACTAGAGTTAGGATGTTGATGACTTTTGCATTTTTTTCCTTTTATTCTGTACAATGCTATCCTAGCTAAAAATTTGTTTCATRCTCCCTTGATGCAGAATATTCTAATTTTATTTTGCATTTTTTTGCATTTTTAGCTCAAAATGCATTTTATTTGTTTTTTAACGTCATTTTTCAACATTTTTCAGTCATTTTTTCATCTTTTAGGGCATTTTTGTGTGTTTTTTAGGTCATCAACATCCTAACTCTAGTTATAACATATTGGTCATTACTGATAAGTGATAATCATAACAAACGCGTCTACCGGCTTTTCTTGAGGCTAAACTTAGGCAAGATAGGGAATAATATTTTTACCGATTAAAAGAATCAATCTCTATCAGATTATGGGGGAGGTAAAGACTTAATTGTCATTCAACAATATTTATACATTGTATTTTGAATGATGGTTACCAACGAGAAAAATAGTAAGAGTATGCCACAATAAATTCTATGAGCGCAATAAATTAATAAACCTACTTTCCAGATTATACCTACTACGTTGTACCTAAAGCATTATCTAAGGTATTGCATTTAAGCATCTATTTTAATAAACATGGTCAAATAATTTAGCTTATAATATACCATTAAACCAAAAATATCGCACCCAAAATCATCGTGTATCGATGATGCTATAAAATGCTGAAATCGTGTGTATAGTAGGTACTATACCTACACCGTAGTAMAATCTATATGCGACATTCSTAGATACAAAATATTTTTATGCACCTAACGTAAGATAATATATATGGGTATAATTGAATAGATAATAAATTACCTTAAATCACTATATGTATGTTAAAAATACATAGTTTTGCGACATTGAATTATGCATTTTAATGAAGATTAATATTTTAAAAATAGGAACGCTGCGAGCATTGATTTCTACCATGGCATTATAGTTTTACTAATTTTTTTTCTTTAAGCCATTTGTATACCTGTATACACTAGTTTTTACCGACTACCGCGTAAAATGTATTATGATAATGTAATACTACACTCACTGGCTCTGTGCTGTTGCTGGTGGTGATAGTCCCTCTGCTGCTGGTATCTGTTTTGCTGCTGTTGTTGCATCAATTGTTGCTGTTGCTGCTGCTGCTGGATCAGAGGTATGGCGGTCGGCTGCGGAGCTTGCGGCTGCTGCGGATAGAGGTCCGGGGGCGACGATACTGTCGAATCCATGCCGTTGTCGCCGCCGCCTGTCACCATCAAACCAGCGCCGGCGATGTTGTTGTCGGGTGTAGTGGAACCGCTGCCGCCGGTTTGGCTGGGTGGGGTGGTTGTCCCAATGCTCGTCGTGTAGGTGATTCCTGCGAAAAGCAAACCAACGACGTTATAATATTATTGCATAGGCGTAACGACAMTACCCGTTTTTACGGCGACAGCGACGAGTAATAGTCCAACGGATTACAAACATAATCGGTCGTCCGAGCACGMACACGAAGCACACGTATAACGTATATTCACGTATACGTGTGCGTTAAATTAAGTACTCGAAATGTACAATAATAATTTTACGATATTCTATTATTATTGTTGTTATTGTTATTATCATTATTATTACTATCATGATTATTATTATTATTATATTCATATATACTGACCATCTAGTAGTTTTTTGAACGGCCATTGTGATTGTGCCGCTTAGAAAATCACAAATAGAGGTGTATATGATGATGACGTGTATTTAATATACATATATAGACGTATATTATATATAAATGCAAATGTACTGGGGCATGTAGAAATAAATAATAATATAATAACGAAAATGTGAAACAATGCCGGCGTACTTATATATATGTAGTCGCAGTACATACATAATATACACAGACACTTTTCGCGGAGAGGGGGGGATAATTATGACCACTATATAAATATAATCATAATATTATGTTCCCGATGTTAATGGTTGATAGGCTACATTATATATTGCATAGGGACGCGGTACACACAATATTATATGATGTACATAATGTACCTAAAAAATATTGTATAATAATAAAGGGGGAGCTGCGGAAAGTCACGGTCATCGCCGCCGCCCGAGCCATTATAATATTATTTTAAAATCGTTGCCACTGCAGCGGGCACAAGTACCCACGGTATTATAAATACATATAAACATACACACCACGTGATATCCTGCAAGCCCATGCCCCATCATCGGATATATTATATTATAATATAACAGAGCCATTGCGACGAGGAAATAAAAAATTTAATAAAAATATAATATATTTATATTATCGTTATTACGGCCTATATAAAATAGGTATAATATATGATCCGAGTGCATGTATGCTGCGGTGTATAATATATATGTCCACGTATATAGGCGTACACAATGTATATAACTACTTATATATATCTATACAATGATAAAATATTAAACACTATAAAATATGTATAATATGGTCGACGACACGTATACTTAATTATTATTGTATAAACCTATAATTGRCCGCATGCAGAATACTAATAAGTTTGTTGTGCCTACGTATATAATATATATTGTGTAAAGCGCAGTAGGTATATACATGTATATATATAAATATATAATAGTGAACATATTATAGTAAGTGCGCGATAACAAGACCACAAAACAATGGTCGGTACCTATTATATAATATAATAAATATTAAATACATATATACATATTATGTTAAAATATATAATATATTAATAAACTAAATATTACAAACGCGAAGCACAATACTTGCAGCTAATACTTATGTATTATAATATGACTACGTACCTATACGTTTATGTATTGATGAATATGCATGTGTAATAATATGATGAATACATCATCGGTCCAATTTTTCTATTATGATACATCAAGTCATCAAAACCATACACATAAATAGGTATAGTAGGTACCTACTGATGTTTCCACATCAATATGTTATTGTTGATTGCCTTCAGGCGATTGGGTGTGTTTATAATTCACTTTATACGAGTGTACATGGTGACAATAACATAGGTGCGCAGGCACGGTGGTCGCTGCGTTATCCGAATTTTAAATTAACAAAAACAAACGTATACGCCTATGATGATCACAAAGAAACTTGATACAATTATATACATGTATATAGTATACAATTTTCGATATCTTTTTTTTTTTTTATTTTATTAAGAACTTTCAGTATAACTATTATACTTCAACAATTAATTTTCGATATTCATAACGTCAAATCTGACTCTCACAAAACAAACATATATAATATATAGGTATAATTTATATATACAAGAGACAAACAAATATATTGATTATAATTTTTTARGCTATAAGAGTTATGAACACGTAATACATATTGTACAAAATGTACAAAGATGTCACTACCTAATCTATATTATACAAGTATATTTTAAATTTGAAAAAAATCATACAACTAAAATATATTTTAAGTTTAAATAATATGTTGAAATTGTTAGTAATAATAATATGCGGTATATATATTAAATGATATACATATAGGTAGGTATATACATAAAGTAAAATTGTTGTTCCATCATATGATGTGTGATAGATAAATCATAAAAGTAGATAAACATAATATATATATATACCTAATATATTATATATTGCGGTAGTGATAAACAATATAAATAATATAATGTATTCTATATGAATAACTATTATGAATAACTTTTAGTATAAAATATTATTAGGATTAAATGTAAATACATAATAGTGAACCTTCAGTTTGGTTTTCAAATTGTAACTCAAAATTAAACTGAAACTACCTTGAACAAAAGCAAAACACCGTAAAATCAATTTCTGCAGAATACACAAGGTTAAAAAAATCTAGTATATCTATACCTATATATATATATATATATAGGGCTACATTAATAATGATTTCGATGATTCATATAAAGTTTTTCGTGGAATACAAAAACCGCGAGGGAAAACAGATTTGCTAAAAAAAAAAATGTGATAAAACAAATATAATCAACGCATCGCTAGACATTAATTATATTATTATTATTTTAATCATTTCGCTCTGATTAGAATATAAAAACGATTTTAATTATTTACTGGGCTATTATATAGGTATATATAAAATAGTCATACCGATCATACATTTATCATCTATATCTAACCTAACCGATCAGGGTAAAAAGGAAACAGTTGATTAGAAAACCAAATGGTTTGATAATTGTTCATGCGCACAAAAAAAAAATATATATATACGCATGTATCTATCGTATAAATATATACGCATCGCTCGCGCATCGTTTGTACAGATCCAAATCGATTCCAAAATGGCTACGTAAAAAAATATATTATGTCGTCTCGATTCTTTTTTTCTTAGGTACCTATACACTTTATTTTAATTCACGGTTATTGTTGTTTTCTATGGCGTAGTAGCAGTAGTATACGCGATTCGTTGGACCGAATCGTTGATTTTTTTCTCCACCGTGTCGAAATTTATCATTTAGTCATTGTGTATATGTGATGGGTTGGGTGCGGCGGTGAAAAATCGGTGTAAAAAAATCATCGGTGTGTAAAGTTAAAGCAGATAGGCCCGGAAGTGAGTTGTTCGACGACGATGACGACGACGACGACTATATACTACAATAAATACTGCTGCCGAGTGGGGTGGGTGCTGTGCAGTGATTGGTTCGTCGATGTGCGACGCCTACTCGCCGCCCGACTAAACACGCGCGCTGATGTATATAAAATATTATATACGCAGCGCAGGAGCGATAAATGTATATACCTATACTAAATCACATATATATTTATATTATATTATTATATTGTATTGGAAAACCTGCAAAACCAAGTAAATTGTATTATTACGATACTACGTATTGCACACGGCTATTATATTATATCCTGCAGGACGCCGAAGTTATATTATAGACTGATATATTACGCACGCCGATTATTACGTACTCCATTCTTATACAACTAAGGTGAGAAAATTTTCCCAAAYATCATTTATCACATATATTTTCTAAAATGGAATAGATAAAAGAACAGAATCTATTATAATATATTACGATAGCCGATAGGTACAATATATTAAAAAATGGACATTGCAGAGGGCGGAAACGATAATATATTCAATATTATATAGTTATAAATATTATATAGAGTGTAACAGAAAGACTGACCAAAAAAAAAAAAAAAAATTAAAATCTATGCTATATCATCGTATATGATAAAAATTGTTGAAATTATATGATAAGTAAATAATTTTTAGAAATATACCTATACTCATGTCAGCAAATTATCAAAAATCATTATTTTTAAAAAAGTAATTGCGTTCCAAATTAATTTAACCAAAAAAATATTGAATTTCAAAAAAATTCTTTTTACCATCAAAATTGTTTTTAGAATCAGATTCACAAATAGGTTATTTTAAATTTATCTAAACAATTTTTATTAAATTTCATTTTTTTTCAATACAAAAAAAACTAAACATAAAAAAATGTATTGTACACGCAGCAATGGGTGACTTAATGAACAAAAAAATAAAAAATAATATTAATTTGAACAAAAGTTATTCCAAAAGTCAGTTCTATCTGTTATACCATGTATACCCTGCTGCGAAGTCGGACTAAAAATTACTGCAGGGTTTCACCATATGAAAAGTCTGCAAACTAGAGTACCTTACCTATAGCCAAATGTATATACAATATATGGTAAAAATCCGCCTGGATTGGTTGCGCGGGTAAGATCTTTTCCTCGCTATATACAAGCAGACAAATTACCTGCAGCCATCGTGGTCTAATATACATAATTCAAAAACACTAGCTGCTATAAAATATATCATATTAATTTTCACGAGCACTAGAATTATTTTGCAACCCGGAACTAATATAATAATACACACCGTTTCAGAGGTTCAGAGGTAAGAATCGTATAATTATTATTGGCAAACGTCGAAGCGGGCGTCCGCCCTTTGAAATAAAATCTGAGCACGTACGTACCACGCGTCACACTGTCGGGGGGCATCGTCGCTATATAGTATAATAATCTAGACGCTCTGCGGGCGCACACGTGTCTCACACGGCATGGCGCTTATTGAATATCAATATCGGTCGAGCAGTTTTTAAAGAATTAATCGAGAAAAAAATGACAGTGACGCGTGTGCCGTGCGCACAACAGTAATACAATTTATTATAAACACGCGCGATCGAACGGATAATTTWTTTTTTGTTAATTTTGAACTTACCGTTACAATGTATTACACATAATATAATATTATAGTACTTATATAGGTGTATTATTATTATCATTAACACCTAAGACAAAAAAGACAAAAACGTTAAGAAAAAAAGAAAGACGTTACGAATATTGGCCGTTTATTAATCATATACACGTGCAGGGGAGACCGACGACCAGCCGTCGACATCGTCGTTATCCAAAAGAAACGACAGAAGCCTGCAGGAACAGCAGGTGTTTATATATATATATATATAATATACTATATATATTATATACATAGCAGCAGACATATACGTTTAGTTTAGGTACCTACAAGTCTCCGGCGATTAAGTACGTGTATAATATGTTGTATCTATATAGACTATGTCATATATGTAGATATATAAACGGCGATGATGCGCTTATAACAATATAAGGGTAGGTATTATTATACCACACACAGTAATATATAGGTATACAATGTAGTGTTAAACAATAATACATATAATATAATAAAACTCATTTTAAAAYACCGTTTCCGGCCAAAATTGATATAAGCGACGCATTGTAAATTGTGATGCGTGTAAGTCAGCTATATAGACTGCAGTTAATATATTATATTCATCTTAGTTYTATCGGCGGACCATAAAATGTGCGAAATATTCCGCCGACAATAATGATGAAAACTTTATATAGATAATAATAAACACTGTACAAAAGGTCAGTAGGTATATCGGTTAGAAGGTACTAAATGGGGTGGAACCGGTAGTAGGTGTCATCCGGTGTGGTAGTCGTTATAAAGTTATATAAATAGTTTGTATTATTGTATACCTACATCTAAAGACTCACCAATAATTGACATAATAAAAAGAAACGCTATGTACATTACAATATATAGCTACAGGTACCGGATACAATTGACACTTTTTGTGTAAAATATACTAATATAGGTACTCGTTTTGAAGTGGTTGTATTATAATATTATATGTAGTAACGACTGTATTATATGCACTATATTATATGCATTATATTATAGTGTAAATGAATATAATGGTAGTTTCAAGACACAAAGATGTATAGATATACCGTATTATTCGGTGCTATATAACTATATACACATAAAATTCATTTTAAAATGTTCGTGCGTTATAGTATATATTTCAACATAGACCGTCTTTCACCCCATATTATATACTATATATTATTGCGACGCACCTGTGACTGCTTGTTGCTCCCGTTTCCGTTGCGGAAACCCTCCTCCGCCTGCTGCACCCATCTGAGCAGTATATACTACATTTTACCCTGTCTATATAACCATCGTCACCCTCCTCGAGACGCGACGATTCCTTTCCGAGAAAACTTTTATAATATATGTAATATAATACATAGTATAAAAGTGTTAAACAAAGCTCACCCCCCGGTTACCCGTTTTCGGATCACCCACGAACTGATTGTATATATCTTTATACCTATATATCCATATATAATGAAATAATACATTTAGCCAAATTATTTCCAATATTATACAGATAATTCCAAGTTCACCAAGAAAACGTTAATAAACTGACTGGCTGGGTATAGCCGAGAAACAGCAGGTGGCTATTATGTACGAGCTGCTATCATCGTTCCCCAGCAGCAGCAAGACTACGACGACGCTGCCACACGTATATCTAACAGGTGGCCAACACCAGTCGTCTCAGTGGCACGAGCCACAGCCGTCGAATATAAAAAACATCCTATGTCTTTAATGTGTGTGCGCGCGTATAGGTATTACATGTATATATTATTATTACACAGGCTATCTATCAATTAATTTCACGCATGTTCTTTAACAGCGAAAGGAGAAGAAAAGAAAAAGGCGGCTGTTTTTAGATGTCTAAGCACACACGACAGTAAAAAAAATRAAAATAAAATAATAGCACGACAGACGAACGAGCGGTGAAAAATGCATTTATATACATAACAGTACCTATCACATAATGAAGTATCGTTATTAATTGCCTACACTCACACATACACGAAAATATTACATCGAATCGCGAATAATATTGTGATTGTGATTTRYGAGATACYTATATGAATATCGATATAACTCAGCTCGCTATAATGAATTAGATCATATATCCTGATGATAATATGTAAACGACAAGTTTCAAAATTGCGACGAGACGTCAGTCCGAAATTCGATTTTTACTATACATATACATAACATTTGGTCATCTAAATTTGAATATGCGCGCATTCGCCCACTATACAAATCGAGGGTCGGTACCCATCTGTAATATCGGTGAATAGTATATAATTTCCAAACCCCCGTGATGGTATGTTTAAGTCACAACCATCGCGAAAAGTCCATGTTAATATAATATAAACGCGGTATAAAGAGAGATACACGAATTGAAATCGAGCAGAAAAACAAACCTTTGCGGGAGCATAATAATTATGTTAAACATTTTATAAAGTACCGTTTTTTATATAATATCTCCGTCKGTTGCCTGGAGTGGACAGCGCCATGTCGTCGACCGCGGCCCCTGCCGGGTGCAGCACCAGGTTGTTGTTGTTGTAATGGTGTTGGCTGTTGTATTGATGGTGATAGGATGTGGACGACGCCGCGGCTGCGGCTGCCGTGACCACGAGATCAAARTAACCGGCGGCGTTGTCCAGCGCGACGTTACCGGACGATGTGGAGCCAGCCGCGGTTGCGCAGCATTGGGTGGGCGAGGACGCCAAAGCCTGTTGCTGATGGTGGTGATTCCTGTGGTGCGCCGGGTGCTGCTGTTGGATGATGTGCTGTTGTTGTAGTAGCACCATCATTTGTCGGTTGATATGCCGGTCAGCCGCCGGCACGGGACGGTGATGAGACAAGACTCGGTCCGAAATGTATATTGAGAACGAAAAACAAGAGACGAGACGAAAACGGAGCGGACAGAGACTGCAGCGGYTATTGCATACCGAGTGTCAGCACGAATTTCGGTCTCGGCAATAATTGTCGTATGGAAGTCGATTCGGCAAAATTGTCGTCACCCTCGATGGCGGGGATTCGAAGTAAAAACGAAAAAAAGCGATGACGTCCAGAAAAAAATAATAAACGGCTAAGACCGACTACGAAAACACAACGATAATATTAAAATATTATAATATCGTTTCTTCTGCAGGATGAATGCAAACGCAGCACAAGACAGTAATCAACGCACAACACACACGACACGACAACCGTACTAAAACGAATGAGCCGCGACTCAACTCTGTAGTGCGGGCTGTAGAGTGCGTGCGCGCGCGGCGCCCGGCGATACGCGTTTATCCCCACTGCACGCGAGCGAACATCGGCGGCGGGCGGGCCTGTACCCTCCACGCCACCGCACCCTCCACACTCACGGTCGTTTTCCGAGACTCCCGAGAAATTCCGACCAACGAAAAA